TATTTATAGCCATTTATACGCAATTTATATCATTATAAGTATTAATATACTGCGGGGGGGGGGGGATTTTTTATAGCCATTTATACGCATTTATGATATTATAGGTATTTATATACAGGGGGGGGGTATTTATTTATAGACATTTATACGCAATTTATATGATTATAGGTATTCATATACAGCGGGGGGGGGGGGGTATTTATTTATAGCCATTTATACGCAATTTATATGTATATTGCTAATCATATACAGGGTGGTCAGATGGAGGGATGGAGTGCTTGAGGGTGGTGGTCGTTTATTTGTGTGTGTGTTTGTGGATAAATGTGCTTGTGTGTTTGTGAATGTTTGTTTGTGCGTGCGTTTGTGTGTATGTGTGTGTGTCTGTCTGTGTGTGTCTTTCTGTTTGTTTGTGTATATGTCTTTACTATTTATATATATGTATATATATGTATGTTTCTGTATGTGTACACATATATGTCTACATGTGCGTGTACGTGTATATATTACCCTCTGCGTGTGCATGTACCTGTGAATGTATAAATATCCATGTGAGTATTTTACTGAGTAAGACCGGACCGGAATCCCATTAATCCAATTCCGAGTTGATATCAAATTCCACGAGAGGGAAGCACCGCATGCAGCTAGTGCTTCCTTCTCGCTTCCCTTCCCCTCTTCCGCCCTTCCGCTTATCTCTCTCTTTCTTCTTCTTTTATTCTCAGCTTCTTATTCCTTTTTTCTCCTATTCCTCCATTCGCTTATTACTCTCTTTCTTATTCTTTATTCTCATCTTCTTATTCTTATTTTCCTATTCCTCCTTTCGTTTATTTCTCTCTTTCTTCTTCTTTTATTCTCATCTTTTTATTCTTATTTTCCCTATTACTCCCTTTCTCTGATTCCTTTCTTTCTTCTTCTTTTATTCTCATCTTATTATTATTTTTTCCTTAATATTTCCCTTTCTCTAATTCGTCTCTTTCTTCTTTATTCTATCTTTTTATTATTTTTTCCCTATTCCTCCCTTTCGTTTATTTCTCTCTTTTATTCTTTTATTCTCATCTTCTTATTTTTTTTTTTTTTCCATTCCTCCCTTTCTCTGATTCCTTTCTTTCTTCTTCCTTTATTCTCTTCTTCTTATTCTTTTTTCCCTATTCCTCCCTTTCTCTGATTCCTTTCTTTCTTCTTCCTTTATTCTCATTTTCTTATTCTTTTTTCTCCCTTTCGCTAATTCCTCTTTTTTCTCTTCTCTTCTGTTCTTATTCTTCCTTTCTCTCCTCCTCCCTTTCTCCAATTCTTTTCTTTCTTCTCTTCTCTTCATATTCTCCTTTTCTCTTCCTCCCTTTCCCTAATTCCTCTCTTTCTTTTCCTCTTTTTCCCTTTCTCTGATTCTCTTTTTCTTCTATTTCTCCATTTCCCTCTTTCTTTCTTCCTCCTCCTCTTCATATTCTCTTGTCCCCACTTCCTCCCTTTCCTTAATTCCTCTCTTCCTTATCCTCTTCCTTCTTCTCTTCTACTTTTCTTATTCTCTTTCGTTACCTCTCTTTTCCTCTCTCCTCGTCTCTCCTCCTCTCTTCTACTTTTCTTCTCCTCTCTCTTACCAGTTTCCTTCTTTTTCTTTTCCTTTCTTTTCTTTCCTTTTTTTTCTTTTTTTTTCTCTTCTTTCTCCTCTTCTTTCCCAACCCCTTTTCCCATTTTTCATCGACTTTTCTCTTTTTCTTTCCTCTTCTTCTCTCCCTTTCTTTTCATCTTCCCTTCTTCTCTCCTTTACTTACTCTTTTTTCCTTCCTCTCTTCCTCCGTTCTTTTTCATTTCTCACACCCTTTCTCCTTCTATTCCTCTTCTCCTTCCTTCTTTCTCTTACTTCCTCTCCTCCCCTTCCTTCCTTTTTCTCTTTCTCTCTCTCCCTTCCTTCCTTTCTCTCTCTTCTTTTCCCCTTCGTATCTCATTTCGTCATTCTGCCCCCCCCAATTCCTCTCTATTCTTTCCCTCTGCTTTCCTTTCTCCTCTTTCTTTCCCATTTCCTTGTTTCTTCTTCCTTCTTTCGCGTTTTTCCCTTCTTCCCTACTTTTATGTCTCCTCTTTCTTCTCTTTCTTCTCTCCTTTATTCTTCCCTCTCTCCTCCAATGTCTCCTCTTACTAATTTTTCTCTTTTCTCTTTCTCGCCCGGCCTCTCTCTCTTCTTCCTCTTTTCGCTTCCTCTTCGTCTGTATTCGTTTCATTTTTCCCTTTTCTCACGTTTTTATCCTTTTTTCCTTCCTCACTTCCTACCCTTTCTCTTCTCCTCCCCTTTCTTTTCTTCTGTTTTTCTCTTCCTCCTCGTTTTCTTTTTCTTCTTCTTTCTTCTTCGTGTTTTCCTTTGCCTTTCCTCCCTTCCTCTCTTCTATTCCTCTGTTTTGTACTTATCTCTCTCCTAATTGCTCTTCGATTTCTTCCACCCCTACTCCCTACTTTTTTCTCTCTTTTTTTCTCTCTTCTGCTATATCTCTCTTTCTTTCTCTCTCTCTCT